CCCCCCCAAAAAAAAACAGTTTGTGAAGTCACTCTTACCCTCCCTTGGCCGTCCACCTCCCATCCTCATCTTCCTCACCCAATCCCACCCTCCGAAATCACACAATTAACACGGACCAAGCTGATGTTCCGGTGGCAGGATCAGCCATATCCGGTTTTGTGAAGTCGGGACAGAAAACAATAACAACAATCCCCATTGGAATAATCAGTAGTTTTGTTTTCTCTTTTCCATGCAAAATGTGATATAAAATTTGACGTATTGGACAGTTGATCAGTCACCGAAAAATAAAACGCTTTCTCGCTAAACTGCGTTCTTCATTCAATGTTGGTCGCTGGTGTATTCCGAAAACTATTGAATGTGTTTATACTTCTATGTTTTCTCCGGTGTGGCTACCAGTTTACAATTTTTAACTGAAAGGTAAGCATTTCTCAGCTTGCCAAAGTTATACAAATACAAGTTTGAAAGAGGATCAATTCCAATTAATGCAAAAAAATGAGGGATAATCACAAACCTGAACTGTAAGAGTTCACTCAATTTCAGATCCTTAGCCTCCTGAATGAATGGAAAGTTCGATAAAATCTGAAGTGTTTTGATTTCATGATTTTTGTCATCTTGCGAATTCTCCTTAATCCCATCTGCAAATGGAAATAAACAGGATAGATAACTGGGGATGACCTTGCAAAAACGTATGAACTGCAATATGCACATATACAGAAGCAGTGCAATTTGCCGGGACGCATTGTAAAACTTGCATGTTTGAATTTTTGATTTAATTTCATTGCGGGAAGACTGAACTAGTCAGATGTTTTCATATTGTTCGATACCATTTGAGCAAGGGACGGTAGATAGAACGCAAGACTCACGGGACAATATGTTGACATCCTTATCGCTTAATTGCTTAAACCTCTCGGAGGTACGTTAAGTGATGTCTACACTCATCTTAGAACGTTAATAAATTTAAATACATCTCAAATGGGTGTTACTGTTTCAGTGTTTACTTAAATCCTCTCCGAATTTACTGATGAATGAAATAAGAAAACATTAGAGACCATGGTTTTACTTTCATCGTAGCAAAATCCTTCGATGGTTACCAGAAATCAATTCTTTCTATCTTCGTCTTTTTTTCTTTTTCACTTTACTTCCTTTTATTGAATATACAACAATTTTTCAGGAAGGGGGAAACGGCCAATCAGAGGGCTGCCATTCAACACACAAGAGAGAAAGTCAGGCGTTGGCGGCGGGGTTCGAACACAGAACCCCGCGGNAGCCACTCTCCAAATCTATCAGTTTATTGCTTTTCTTATCCGAATATTGCCATCTTTTTTGATCCCACAGTGGTATTCTTAGACTACAAAAAACGCCTTCGGCTGTTTTTCTCTTGTATTTCTTAGCCTGATTACCGAAGCTGATGTTAATCCAAACTTTGACAGTTTGATCCACGATTATTTGACCAATTGAAGGCAGCTTACGTGCCTGAACGGCAAGAAATCTTCCACTCTCCCGTTTGCTTCTGGTGTTCTGTATGATGCAATTCTTCCCCCGTTGTTCTTTCCAATGTATGCCAAACAATTTCGCATTCCTTCCTCATTAATTGGCTGTTAACACGCAAATGTTAGTTCAGGGATGCCACACCACCACCGCTGAAGTGACTTCAGAAATTCGAAGTAAGCTAAACAATGTTGTTAGTTGGTTCTTGCCCCGTTCCCTTTCATTTAATGCCTCAAAATAGCACAATGTTGTGTTTTCCCTTGCCTCAGATGAACCAACCAGGTTTCCGACCTTGACAACCCATTCATGAACCCAAACCGACAACAATAATGCTAAAATATCTTGGCATCGCATCATCACACAACTTATCCTGGTCACTGCGTGTTCAAAACTTGTTGCAAAGTTAGAAAGCTTTCATATTTCTCACATCGATTGAGAATACTTTCTGTTCTCCACATGCTGATTGTTAGGTTTCTGAATGAATGCGTGCTCCTCCACTGGTTGTATTACTCCCCAGTTATTTCCCCCGATATGTTAAAGAAACTATTTTATTTACTGGCGAGATCTCTGAAGTACATTTCTGAATGTAATGGTATCGTCAGGGATAAACTCGCAGATTCTATCATCAGCGGACACCTACAAGCATGTGAAAATTTCACTGCCAAAATACTCTCAGACACTCACCACCCAATACACGACGAATTTTCGAAAGCTGTATCTACATACATCATCCACACGCTCAAGATTTAAACTTTTATTTGCACGTACCTCTTCATATTGTGATTCTGTTTTGTCTTATCTCGCAATTATACGTGTTAATAAGGGGAAATTTTCCACAGAATTGCGTAAGTTTGTTCGGTTCATTGACAAAGACAATACCTATCGAATTCAGTTTCATTTTGTATGATTTGTAAAGTCCTATCTACAAATATGGTGTAGAATACTGTCAATTGACCCATCCGGGTGCATAAAGTTACTACTGACTGACTGTTGTGATCCAAAAGATTTTTCTCGAAAAAAGATCCGGTGAAAGATGACAAATTGGATCATTTCGAGCCATTTAGTCAATAATTCGAGAGTCCTTCAGAGTGCTATCCTTTCCAAATAATTGTTTTCCACTTAATCAATGTCCTTTTTGACCGGTTATTTCATTAGTCTGATGGTTTGGTTCAGTATAAGCTCATTTTAAACATGATTGAGATGATGCTACTCACTGACAGCCTGTCACCAGGTCAAACATCGTCCGATCTATCCATTCTCCACTTAAGACCTTCAAAATGATTTGAGCGCATTGTTCGGCCGAGTCAAGTGCAGCAAACAAGCTTTGTTCTTCCACCTGGAACCCAGAATATACTTATTCAACTAAGTAGGATTCCCCATTGGTAATAGCCTCTGGTGCTGTTTTCATTTACAAATAGACAGCGGAAACTACTTACTTTGGTCTATTGCATTCCTAATCTAAGACAACCTGTGGTGCACGGTGACATCATGTGCAAGAGATTATTGGAAGATTTAATTCAATCTCAAGTGTTACCTTGCTGAAAACAGAGAAAGGAAATTTTAACTGAAAGCTAGGAAGCTGTGTAATACGGCAGTTTCGCCTGTGTTGGGTTTCGGCAGTAGAGTGAATGGGAGAGAATGGGATTTGCCCCATCACCTCCCCTGTTTTAGGAGTGTCAAAATTCACCAAGGAGTCGATTTGTGGTTGGTCGTGAACAGGGCAAACTGCAATAGAGGACCCAGGTATCGTCATCTACGTTAATCTCGATTGGGTTGCAGACGTGATAGCTGGTGTTGGAACGTACCGCTCAATCAGGTCGGACTCTACGGTGATTAACGGTGTGTGCACTGGAGCCGTTGATCTTGTCTCCCCCTCACACACGAAAAATGCAGCACTGAGTGGCAGTGATCTTTGGGGAGTTGTCCCTTGGCTCACGGTCTTAGGTATACCCGATCGTATCGCTGCTCGTGCATTATAATCGATTATGACGATGAAGCATTCTGTCAATACCAAGCAGGACGACCAACCTCTACTCCAAAATCAGACGCCTCATTCAGTCGCAGGACAAAATGATTGAGACGCTTTCCGAGTGGGGAGGCGTGTTGGATCAGCTAGTTTCCATCAATAACCGCCAGTCATTTCATGTACGATCCTGACGCTGGCGCAACCTTCGACTCCTGTTTCGAACGCTAACAGAACGTTTTCACGGTAGAACTGGTCAACCGCGGGGAAGATGCAAGGGTTCACCTGTTCCTTCGAAAACTTGGTCCGGCAGAGCACACTCACTATTACAACTTCATCTTTCCGGATTAAATCCGTTCCCATGTTTTCCTCACCAAGATTTTTGGTGACTCTCTCACTCTGTTATCCATTCCCTTTTCCAATGGCTATAGGTTGTCAAACGGGAGGTCGTCAATTTTGCCCAATACGCGAATATCATCACTCGTGCCTGTGGTTGGTTTCAATTTGACTCTTTGATTGAGGAGCAGTTCCGCTGCCGGTCTTCATCTGCGATCGTCAGGCCCCGTGTTACGCGGACCTCCGGACGCTTCTCTTGATCTGTTCGGTGGCTAAGTGGACAGCTTTCATTTGTTCTACACCTGAGGTCTCAGATTCGATCTTAAGTTGGGCCGAAGACATCGCACAGACAGGGAAACTCAACTAAAGAGCGAAACTGCCAACCGGTTATCTGAAGCTCTCTAATTCCCCTCTCCTTCTATCTGTGTGAGATGAAATTCTGTATGCATTTATTGCAAACCCATAATTTTTTTCTATTGCTTTTTAGGAAGGTTAAGTGATGCCATCTCCGAAATTTATAAATGTAACAATAAACACATTCACTCAAAATCGACGTTTTAATACACTATTCCGTTGCTTTGCGGGTCAGGTTCCGACTAACCGAAGGCTCCGGTTGTAGATTCCTAAAGGGAATTCCCTACCTTGGCATGGGCAACCTGGCAGTATTTAGCCCACATGCAACTCCTGAAACGTTTTTCTTCTTATGAAGATTTTTCTACTATGATTTGTTTGGTCTCAGGCGTTTGATATAATAAGTAGCATGTGAATGAGCGGGTAAAATCTCCCTGGAATCACACCACCGGTTTCTCGGTTCTTTCCTCTCGTCAGGCATGCGTATTTAGTATTCTTTTGTCCATTCATTCAAATACTTGTAACCGGGAAATTGATTTTTGTCACAATAAACTTGTTTGCAACTCCGGGTGACTTTCGTATATATATATATATATATATATATATATATATATATAATCGAGGTACAAAAGCCTGCATTATCATTGATACTCTCTTGGATAGCTAAACACAGTAGCCAGTAAATTTCCTGGCAGATTCTTCCTGCATGCATCCACATATAGATGTTTTCACCGCTTAATTTTCGCACGATACACTGAATAGGATGATCATTCTGGGAGTTAGAATCGACCTAAGAATAAAAACCTGAAATATAACAACGAACTATTGGTTTGCAACCTAAATCAGTTCAACAACACACGAACTACACGGACAAACCATTTTCTGCTGTATCCCATCGATCACGATGCGAGGCGACAAGTGTATCAACGGGGGCAAACATGGCGGACAATTCAGGCATTTCTGCCGGGTTCCATCGAATCTCCCGCGCCAGTTGTTTCTCTAATTCACCGGCATTCAATTGTGTTGGAAGCCAATCTAACGGAACCCGTAGGGGATTTAGATCAGATTGATCCGGGTTCAGGGACCTATCAAAACAAATTTGTTCCGGCTTCAAGGCCCGATCTTTCATTGGTCTGTATTCAATAGACGTTGATGTTGGGATGGCCAGTTGTAATAGCTTGCGATGAATAACCACACTGTCCAAATCCAACGAGGTTTGAATCGATTTGAGCGCCGCTCGAAATACATGCGGAATGTAATGTGGCGCATGTGATGTGGCCAGTCGTGGAGTTCCTGTGGACAACCGGAAAAAAAGGAAACATCACAACCAATAGAAGAATGTGTGGAAAATAGCATATTGGTTATAGCAAATTCCAAATATACTCATACCTAATATCAATTTACTTTGCCATTTGGTTCCCAGTTTATTAGAACACTGATTTATGAAAACAGAATTCATAGTGAAGTAACCCTCTTAGAATCAGCGTAACCCGACTAACAATCCAGAAGACTCGCTCGATGTTTGAATACTGACCCATTTATGTTAGACAGCTGGGAACTAACGCTTTAATCAATATCGTTTTTTTAAGTTTATTGTTTGGCAGGTTTAAATCTTACGTTGAAATTGTGAAAAATTTAGTAACCTCGATGAGATTCAAACCCACGCATTTTTACAGCGCACGATCTAACGGCTGAGCTACGAGGCCATATTCGAATCACTCATCCAACTTGCAGAGACATATGGCATCCATAATTAGCCTTGCCTGAGAAGTTCATTCGATTCACTTCGGTGAATTCTAAGGAAAACCGGTCATGGCAGTCAGCTTACATGCTACCTGGTGGATGTCATGTGCCTCTGTAAGTTAGATGGGTGATGCAAATGTGAAAAGATCAGTACGATGTGTGTGGCCTCGTAGCTCAGCTAGTAAAGCGTGCGCTGTACAAATCGCAGGTAGCGTCCCTGCCTGTATTCCACTCCCACTGAGGATACTGAACTTTTTATGATTTCAACCATATCCTTTTGACAGTTTTTTTTCTAACAGAGGTTGTAATTACAATCGTAATTATGATATTCTTTAGGAGTAATGCTAACATATGAAACAAATGAATACACAGTAGTGAAAAAAATAGGCCTCAAAACATTTAAGACAGTTTGCGTAAACCTGTTTGTTGCTAACTAGAATACGAGCACGATAGGGTACCGTGGAGTAACGATATGCAGATATCGGCCAAATTCATGCAACACCC